TCATCCACTTGGCTAGTTTGGTAGAGGCCCTCAGATCTGCAAGCTGCTGCTAGGGCCCTGCTGAGCCCACTGCCTGCAGTGAAGGTCTCAGGTGTTCAGCATCTTGAACAACAGATTCAAACCTGCAGCAAACTCAAGAGCCTGGGCGGAGGGCAAGTGAATCTAGCCTGAGTCCTCCTCTTTAGCTCAAAATAACGGGAACTAGAGAAGGGGTCCTACACTCGAAGAAGTGGAAGCTGGTGTCAGGTTGGACGTGTCCTTCTGTAGCTCCATCCCAGCTACTCTCTGCAAAGAGTGGAGAGCAAAGGAAGCCGCTCCAAGGAAAAGACTGCTTTCCAGCCTGCCTGGCCAGGCTACCCCCCCTGCGACGGAGTCACCATGCTTCAATGTGAAAAGGCCAGCGATAGCAGGACAAATAGATCACCACTACAGAAGGATACTGGCTGCAATCCTGCCCCCACTGAGGCCAACGGGAAGCCTGTCAGTGACCCAGGAGCACTGACTTTGGACTAGAAGGGATCACATAGGTCACCATACCCAGTTTCTTGCTGCCACTGACAACCATGAGACACTATTTGTTTTAATCAAGCTCCACATTTAAACCAGGTAGTTTACAACCCCCCCGATGATCCAACCTGGAGGCTGCTCCAAAGCATCAGGGCTGCAATGTCCTTTACTTTACTCAGTCTTTCTCTCTCCCTGGTGTTTCCCCCCAACTGAGAACAAGCCTACTCCCTCCCAGCACTCATCCTGCTACACTAGCGAAGGCTACCCTGTGGCTCGCACCCCACTAGTGGCACAGGCAGCCTGTGTGTGTGGCACACAGCAGCTGGGGGTGGTGGCAGGCAGCGGAGCAGTGGAGAGGGCAGTAGCTTTTTGGCAGCTTTTCCTGAAAACGGGTGACCAGAATCATGCGATCTCCTGAGAGCCCTGTGCAATGGCAGGAATAATTCCTGTTCTCTACTGGAAAAATGATGCCCGATACATCTTACAATTGCATTTGCCTTTTCACAGCCACAGACTGGGCACTCATAGGCACCCTCTTACCAACTAATGCACCCAGGTCTTCCTCTGTCGCTGTCATTTCTGACTTATGAACTCACAGACAAGACTTTGCTCAGGTTCTGGACCGCGTGCAGAACAGTTCAAGGGAAAATCTGTCGTAATTTTTTTGTTAACATCTCTGCATAGGACACCTGTTATAATTAGTGTATGTCTTGCTCCCCCCTGCTGTTTTGAACACCACCTCATCATATTCCCCATACATGCTACGTTTATATAAAGTCACTATTGTCTGATGAACCGAGCATGGGGCCGGAAGCCAGGAATTTGTGACACCTAATCCCAGACCCACTAATGACCTTGTGTGGCCTTGGAAAATTCACTTAACGTCTTTGTTACTCAGCACTAAAATCAGAATAATGATCTTTACTCACCTACCTCAGAGGCGTTTTACGAGGACAAATTAGTTCATGTTTGTGCTGTGCTTTGGAAATATAAAATAATATCTAACTGCTAAGAATTATTACAGCCAGTTGTTTTCATCCATTTTCATGCCATGCATCTGTGTTTGGTGGTTGCCGTTTCATTTAGGATGAGCTTAATAGCAGATGGAAGCAGAGCTTTCATAGCAAATAATACATGTTAACAGGTTCATTCATTTAAAATACTGAACTACTTTTCCCCCAAATTTATCTGTAATTTGCAGAGTTTGGAACTGGCCTCTTGATCAAATCCCTTGTGGCAGAAATAAGCCAAATTTCCTTTTTTGTGATGTGTTCTACTTTCGCAGAACCCATTCGGAAAGTGGAAATACAGGTAGCTTAAATACCCATCCCTCCTGTCAAAAGCTCTCTATTTTCTCTGTTGTACTTTACATACGGAAGTGATGTCTTCAGGAAAAAAAATGCATGAATTTTCACACTAAACTGAATGCAGATAACAAGAGAAAAGAGAGAAAAACTTAATTAGAAAGAATTAATTGGGAAAGATGCATCCTGTTGAGCAGTTTGCCAGAGGCCCCCATTACAGTCATGGTGCTATGGTTACAGTTGAAATGGCACATCCTCCCAAATAACCTGATTTTACATCAACAGTGAAGAGGAAGATCATTGTTTGCCCGACGTGCCCATTTGGGGAAGAAGTGAGGACGAAACGCCCCATGGCTCACAGCACAGGGTGAGGTGCAGCCCTTGCAGGCAAGTACCTCCTGACCCACTCGGGGGGGGCAGGGCCCGGGCAGAGTCTTGCCGCCACGTGCCCCATGAAGCATCAGCTGGTGCGGCACAGAGGAGGGCAGTCACCAGCTGCTGGCAGACTAACGGGGGAGTAGGGAACAAACTAGCTCTCGAGTATGTCTGCACCATGCCACGCAGACCCACTTCTGAGCCACAACCTGCTCCCTGATTTCTCCAGGAGTGGGGCAACTGTGTGCCACCCTCCTTCAGATGAGATCTGAAAACCAGCTAGACCTGATCCTTCTGGAAAAAAAACAAACATTGCCTCTCTCATGCTCAGTTTATGCGCAGAAGCGATAATTTAGGTGCGAGGAACGTGTTAGTTCAATCAGGCTCCCTGATACTTCAACTCATCAGATAGTTTCAAAATATTAACACAATAGAGCAATTTTCTCTCGCTCTCACATGGAGCCTCTACTCATCTAATTAATAAAAATTTCAAGGAACTTGCATTTACTGCTGTGTTTATTTTAAAATATTAAAAACAAGTGCACTTCAGTGACCGCGGTGCCTTCAGATAACTGCTGTTGAAAAGCTGGTTGCTATGCAACCTAAAGTATTGTCCATATTATCCTCACCAAGAGATGACATATTGTATGAAATAAAATAATCCTCTTTAAAAAACAATACAGTAAAAAGCTGGTTTTGGGGGGCAGAAAGGGGAGCTTGCAATAGCTCAGGGCTCTCTTGCAAGCTCAAAAGAAAGACGGTGTCTCTCTCCTACAGCTACATACCATCAATTACTGAGCCATAATACAATTGTGATGATTAGTGACATGGCACGGGTGACAATACATATAAATTGCTTGGAATAGAGGAAACAAGCCTGAAGATATCAACTCTAAGGTTTCTTAAGCAATAGTTTACTCAAAGCAGCTGCTGGGATGATATTTCAGAGAACGAAGCCAAATAGGCCATTTTACCCAACATGGTCTCAGCCTGTACTTGTCCCATTTGTCCAAAAAAGCCCTTTTATTTTATTTCACAAGGAACATTTTAGTGTTGGTGAAATAAGTTAGATGGGAGGAGACAAAGCATCTGTCTGCAGAGGCAGAGGGCTCAGTTATACCGTGGGGGAAGCAATCCCTGCCCACCCATCCCTGCTCTATGTGCGTCAGCTCTGGCCATGAGGTGGGGAGGATGCCCTGGGGGGTGTCCCTGGCACTTTGCTCAGGATCTCGGGTCCTGGGGTGCACGACAGCAACAGCCACATTTTCACAGCCCCACTCGGCAGAGCGGGTGGAAATTACGGTATAATTACATTGACAACGTTTGTTTTACGCTTCCAGAATGGTGTGAAGCGGCTTTGACGTGAAGCAGAGGTACGGTGCTCCTCACGGTGAACGTGGCAGCTCAAAGCCACCCCCCAGAGCAATCCTTACACCCTCTAGTTATGTTGGATCTCAGCTTTCCCCTCCCTAAGTGTATGGACCATGGAAATTGTTTTACAAGGTGGCAGGTTCAAACTCTTTTCCTCTTAGCTCACCATTTTTATATCACCTCACTTGTCCCAAAGCAATTTAAAAATATTATGCCCTGTTGGGAGACAGGAGAGAGAGCGTATCACTGCTTCCACCTACAGAGCAGCTCAGTTGGAAAGGGGAAGGCCAAGCAGTGGGGCAGTGGCATTGCCCAACTAGACCACAGGGCCTCCTACCTCCCCGTGAGCTCGCTCCTTTGCTCCTGTAAATCAGCACCAATCTACTGGGTGCGGCTCCAGGGAAGCCGTTTCCACCCCCTGAGTTGACCCTCCTTTTTATGGACACTATTTAGATTACCTGCCCCACCGCAGACTTGGCACCATGGAAGAGCGTCAGTGCTCACACAAAGGGATGCCATGTTTTCTGGTTCTACCTGGAGCAGCTGTGGGCACCGCTGAGTGCAAGAGGCTTTGGCAATGTTCATCCCCAACCAATGAAAGTTAGAAACGATGTTATAACTCTGCTCCTGTTTCCATGGAATTAGATGTTGCTCAGGCAAAAAAATGGGGTAAAAGTACTAAATATGTTAAAAGCACTTCACTTCCAAGCCCATTTGCCATCTTAGTGTCCTCTCCTGGAGGTTTGCCTGAAAACAGCCCCTTTCCATGGAAACAGCAAGGGAAGATCTTGGAAGACCATGGAAACAGCAAGAGAACAGAAAGGAACATCTGTAATTCTTAATGTGGGTTTGATTCAGCCAAGTGCTGAGTTCCCTGGCTCCAGATCAGAAATGCACATATTTAACTTTGAGCACGTGTGTAGTCCCATTAAAAGTTAAGCACAAGCTTAAAGGATTTGTTGGGTCAGAGTCAGGGTTCAGCAGTGTGTGGAATAAACCCACAATGCAATTATTATATTGGTATAGCCATATATTCCTGCTTGCTTATATGCATTCATGCAAACAGTCTATATTGCATCCCTCTAGTAGCTAAAAGGGTCACCACCCACAAAACTTGCCAGGAGTTATTCCAAAAAGACTAGGTAGTCATACTGCCAAACCAAAGTGCTAACTTATACTGACATAAGTAGGGGGGAAAAAATTTTCTAAATCTCAATTATTTGCCAGCATGAAGTATGTATGATAAACGACAAGTATAAACATGAGTTCTCTATCATACATTAATGTTACATTCATAGACATATAAAGGCAGTGTATCTACAGTTTATATATATAGTTGAAAATATATTAAACTACGGTATTATACTTCACAAATGAATCATATAGTTCATTAAAATTTCTCAGAGACTTTGAGCTCCATTATTTAAATGAGCCTTTACTTACTTTCCCGTAGCTCAGCAGGATTATCCTCACCAAGACAACGTTAATGTGAGCACCTAAGGATTCATCGTGGTAGATTTCATTAACCTGCGAGAGAGCATTGACATGTTTAATAATGACCCCGTCAATAAGTAATTATGGTAGTAATGATGAAACATAACCTTCTTATACACCGTCTCCCAGATATAGATCATTTGTGCTCATTAGTAAAAAAAGGGGCATTTCTGTTGAAGTGAGAGAAGACTCTTTCTTCCTGAAATTATGGGGCCCTTCTATAGAGGCTCCATATGGACCTCAATCAGGAAAGTTCTTGAAGTCAATGAGCATTTAAGTAGATGGTTATGTGCTGTCCTGAACAGGAATGGACTTAAACACAAGCACAAGAACTTTTTTGTTTTGGGTAATAACTGACTGAAATACTCCCAAGGATGAGAAACCCAGTACAGCACCATGTTGGCACAACTGTGCATCAACATTAATCCAATCTCAAACTATACAAGCAGAGAAACACCTACAAAGTCCTAACAACTATGACATATTTTTGTGTTACTCATGAACAGAGACAAACCATTTAGGTGCACCAAAAAGAGAGCTAGGAATATTTTAACGGCATGAAATACAGACATACCAGGAACATACAAGAACTAGCACTCCAAGCAGCTGCAGAAAAGATAAACGGTTAAAGACGCTGATTTGGCTAATCTACGATGAGAGAAATGCAAGATCATTATGGCCAACTCATGTGCTTGAAAACGTCTTTTTTTTTTTCTACTTTACAAATCGGAACAAATACATAAATAAATATCTGGAAGGCAAGGATGTTCCCTTCTGTCTTCGCCCTGATCATTTTCTTCCAGTAAATCATGACTCTGAGCTACACTGTTTCATGAGCTGGAGACAAATGTCATCTGTTCTAATTATGAGAAATATATAAATCACAAAGAAGTTCATAAGTTTAAGTATAATTTTATTAAAAACAAGATTGCGAAAACATTGGATTTGTATCAGTGGGTGTAGCTCCTTAGGGGACTACATCAAAGCACAAATCACGTCTGAGCTCCAGAGAAATAATTAGATGCTGCAGTGTAGGGTTGAATTGATGTCGCTGCCATCATGGTCCAGGAAATACGTGAGAAGCAAGAATTTTTGCGGGTAATGTCTTTTATGTATGGTTAGGATAGGTATTTGGGTGAGACCTGAGGAAGGGTACTGTGCTATCCTACAGTTTCACTTCTCTAGGTCTATCCCAGCCATGCAGTTGGGCCCATAAAAGATATCACCGCAACAGTTCTTGCCTCTTGCACAGATTCTTTAGTGCAAGTTAAAAAAAAAATCATTAAATATTAACTGGGAGTTTTCCTGCATGCTGGGTACTACTTACAGAAATAGTATCTTGACATTATGCTTCCAAATTCAAGCTTAGGCACCTAATTTTCCCAAGTTGCAAGCACCCAACCTTCTCCCAGGCAGTGATTGAGATCCGCCTGCTGCTCATTGCCCTGTGAAAGTTTGGTTACTTATTGGTGCCAAGATGTGAATTTAACCTCCTTTATTTGAAAGGTGTGGCTTTCCTTCCAGAGACTTTTATAAAGGCAGATTACATGCTAGGCTATATTCATACACTTGCCTTTAAACAAACCATTTACTCCGAGCAAAACTTGTGTGCTAGCGTTGCTTTGGGCTCTTTACGCCACCCACTCAAGGGCATTATCATCTTGATGCAGAGATACTAATTTGCCTCTTTGTGCATTGGGAAAAGAATACATGCGTCACTGATAATGATCTGAAATATGCACTGTGTTCCATATAAAGCCTCTGTGCACAGGGGATAATATATATGACATGTAAATAAGCATTTACTTGCTTCATAATTTATAATCTGTATGGTCACAGACTCCTTTCTCATTGCTTTCCAGAACCAAGCCTCAGCCTTTTCTAACAATAGTAGAATAATATAGCAACTGTATCACAACTATGTGCCAAAATAAAACTTGGCGTGAAAATGCTGACAGAATAATACTGCAACACTGCTTGACAGTTCATGCTCGGAAACTCCCGCTCTGCCTGCTCTGATGAAGGAGAAACCCTGCAGTAACCCTGTATTGCGGGCACGCAACATCTTGCCGGGCACGAATCAGGTAACACGGCATGCTACTGCGTCTGGCACTTCAAACAGACACGCAGAGTGCGACTGAGTTACAGCTGTAGGAACCATAACTTTGAAATTATGGACTTTTTACTCCTGTGTGGGAAATGTCTACCCATATATATCCTAGAGCTTGTTGAACGTCTGCCCAATGGGAAACTCCAACGTTTCAAACTTTGTTTTCATTCCAAATGGGGGGAAAATCCCCAAATACTCTGAAAGATCCCCTGGAACAACATGTTCAAAAAAAAATTATTTCAGGTAAATGAAAAAATTCAATTACAATAAAATTAAAATGTTTCGTTCTGATTTCTGAACTTAAATATTTAAAATACAAAATAAATTTTGGAATAAAAAAAATCATTTGAAATTAAAAACATCAAAACTTTCTGCTGAGGTCTAAAGGGAATGTGTTGACCTACCAAAATACTTGTTTCCATTTTTTTCCTGAAACATAATTTCATTACAATTGGCACATTTCCATACAAAATGGCATTTGTCAACAGCAAAAGTTTCCATCAGGAAATTTTCAGTCTGATCTATTAACAATTTTTTGGCACTGTTTGCCTTGATTCGCTAAAAGAGGGTGGCTACTGGCTACACAAGACAACACACTGCAATAAATGCATACTTATTTTCATGTATAAGCTAAATGGCATCTGCTTGTTTCCATGTGCTATTAAAAATGAGATCCAAGCGTCTGAACACTGAAACAGATGTGCTCTCAAATGCTTATGAGAACTGCATATATGAAAAGATTCTCTCTTAAACTAGAGCCTTAATACCCCACCTTCCTTATCATTACCAGGACTGCAGTGCTATCTAATGGAATTCATCCTGCGTAACACATTACCAGCTCCGGGTCTCCGAGGCCTTTGCTCAAACTTATAACAGCTAAATTAAAAGCAGACAGAGTCATTTCAACATACAGCCAGCCAGATAGAAAACATAAGCAATGTATCTAGCTGTCCAGATAAACGCATGTAAACTTGAATCCACTTCTTACTGATTTTGTCGTGATGTAACTCCATTTACTTCAGTGGAAACATCCCGGTTCATACCCACGTAAGGGAGATCAGAACTGTGATTCCTGCCTGTCTTTACATTGGCGAGGATCAGATCCTTAAACGATGGCAATGCAAAGGAAAAGGAAGCAGGCAGGCAGCGTCTCCGACTCAAAGCTCCTGCACTCCGGGGCTTTGCATTCAGACGTGCACGGTGATCCAGCATTTAGAGAAGGCAAAGATGTTTGATTCAGGCATCTCAAAGAACTCAAGATTGGGCATATTATTTTGAGGGAAGGTCTGATAAGTCACAAAACTACTAAAGGTCACAGACCATTTTTCTATTATCTAACTCTATAGTTTAAGTGACCGGCAATTTAATTAAAAACAAGACTTTTCTGTTCTAATCTTCAGGGAAGCCTTGGGCTACGCATTACAGATAGATGCTTCTCCTCCAAAGCCAGGTTGGCACAACTGGTGCCCTCTGTTAGAGAGATGGGCTGTATTTATTTTCCCAGTCCAACTCCCCTTGCTTGTTTTATGGTTTTTCGTAAGAAACTTGAACCAGAGACTGTAGCTGAGCACAGCCTGAACAAGCCAAGCAGTTGCAAAGGATGCACTATGCTCTGTTTATATTAGCTTCAGGAAACACTGATAGGTTTTTAAAGTGCTTACCACAAAGAGGCTCTAATCCTGACGGGGGCTTTTGAGTATTACTGCAATATAAATAAATAACAACACCAGGCCTGCAGCTTTGCAGGCCTCACTACAGGTCAGGGGAGCTGCAGATAACTTTGCAGGATATCCAAGTGAATGGTTTCCATGTATTTTTGAGATGACCCTCAATAAAAGCAACAGCAGCACAGATATTATGGCAAGTAATGCACAGACGTATTTGTACAGTTGTAAAGAAGCTTCCCGATTAATGAGTCATGGCACACGTTACATGCGCGCGCGCACACACACACATAAATAGAACAACCCACTGCCCCCTCAAACTCACTGAACACAGACCATCAAAAGCCATCAGAAAATAACTAGAGCTAGGGACAGACATTCAAAAAGCCTGAGCCTGAATTGATTCAGTCTTTGCAGGTTAGTCTAACCTGGCTATGCTGAATCACTTTGTAACTGCACAGACATCCCAGAAATGTAGGCACATGCCTGCAGTGGCTCAGGCTAGAAGCCCAGGAGTGCTAGAGCAGCCCTCCCTTCCCTTTCACAGGGCTGACCTGATGGGGGTGTGGCCAGGCCCAGGCAGCATTTATCAGCATTTTTCACCTCATCAGAAAACAAACAGCCTCTCTCATTAGTTCAAGCTCTTCTTAAACAATGAAGGAATGGAGGGACATTACCACCTCAGGTTTGATTAGCTCCAAAAAGCCCTAAGCGGACACTGCTGTCTGCTACAGCACAGACTGTAGCCAGCCTGTGGTCTGCTAGCTAATGCTGTGCATCTGTGTAAGGCAGAAGGGACAGGGGATCCCTGCTTAGCAGGGAGTGGGGAGGGGAGGGGGAAAGTAGGAGGGAGCAAGGCAGATGCTGCTATGCCTCCAAGTCTCTGCTGGAGCTACAGCCAGGGAGCAGAGGGGAGGGGCCAGCCCTGCTGTGGAGCAGAGAGCCCTGCCCAGCCCAGACAGTTTGCTGGGATGCCAGGGGAGTCTGGCTTAATTTAAACCAGCAAGGTTCAAATCTGTCAACCTCAGCTGGATTTGAACCAGCATCACAGTGCATCACATCTGGCCACTTTCAAGATACTGCAAGATCCAATTTATTCATCTGATGTTTCAATACTGCAATACGCTGATGCACTCAAGCCACTCAGCCTTCCTTATTATAACCAGAAACTACATATGCAAGTATCACCTTTGCAGTTATCCCTGTATTTCTGCATCTGGGGACAGTGTGGAGACAGATGTCAGGGCTGCATCCATTGT